GCCCCCCCAACCACCGAACCCTCAGCACAATCACCACAACCCACAGCACGACTACAAAAGCAGACAACACAACCACCCATCCCAAGGCCACCACACCATAGCCACCCAATCACACCTCCACACACATCCCACAACCACCACACCACAAGACACAACACCACATCCACCCAACCCACGACCACCAAACCACAACCATACAACTACACCTCCACACAAAACTCACAGGCATCACACCACAATTACATAACACGACAATAACCCAACCCACAACGCAACCACCACAGCATACAACATAGTCATTGGTTTTGAGCGCCTTGTATATAATATGAAGAAAACATTGCCATCTACAAATCAAGCATTCTATTTCACCTATTTTTTAAATTCTCACTCAAACATGAACGTAGTGATAAAACCTCATCCCATATTTTCCATTTGAGGCAATTACATATAGGGCACTCGAAATGTCGATATCTAAAAAATAAGCACCCTTTGTCACCCATTTTTCAAAGTCTCGCTCAAACTTCAAATTGATAATTTTGAATTGAGGCAATTACATACATAATAATTGAAACAATGCTATGTACAAATTAAGCACCCCATTTCATATATTTTGCAAATTCTCATTCAAGCATCAAAGGAAGTGATAAAACCCCATCCCATATTTTTCATTTGAAGCAATTACATACAAGGAAGCCAAAACAATATTATGTACAAATTAAGTACCATATTTCATCTGTTTTTCAAATTATCACTTAAACATCAAAGGAAGTGATAAAACCTCATCCCAAAATTTTCATTTGAGGAAATTACATACATGGAATTTGAAACGTTGCTAGCTACAAAATAAGCACCCTATTTCATCCATTTTTCAAATTCTAACTCAAGCATCAAAGGAAGTGATAAACCCCATGCCATATTTTTCATTTGATGCAATTACATACAGGGCAGCCGAAACACTGCTATGTATAAATCAAGCACACCATTTCATCCATTTTTCAAAATTTCACTCAAACATCAAAGGAAGTGATAAAACCATGTCTCATATTTTTCAGGCCACCCGAACGTTCCTATCTTGAAAATAAGCTCCATGTTACCCCATCCCATCTTTTTCGTTTGAGGCAATTACAGACAAGACTGCCGAAACAATGCTATGTACAAATCAAACATCCTATTTCATCTATTTTTCAAAATCTCACTCAAACATCAAAGGAAGTGATAAAACCATATCCCATAGTTTTCATTTGAGGCAATTACATACAGGGCACCCGAAACATTGCTATCTACAAATTAAACACCCTCTTTCATCCATTTTTCGGATACTTGCTAAAAACATGTACGTAATTTTGAGTGTATTCAAAGCAATGCTATGTACAAATCAAGCGCCCTATTTCATCCATTTTTCAAAATCCCCCTCAATCATCGGTGGAGGCAATAATAGAAGGCCCCCAATTACATACAGGACAACCGAAATATTTACAAATCGAGCTCACTCTTTCGTCCATTCTCCAAGCACCATTCCACATTTTTAATTTTTTTTATTTGCAAGACTGAAATCCCAAACTGGGGTGCAAATATCACAAACATCTCACAACAAACTGCAAATGATAAAACAAAAAATTGTATAAAGAAAGTCATTCCATTGAAAAGTACCACAATAATTACTTACAAAACACAACCACCACAGATCGGAGAGAGGAGGAGGAGGAGAAAGGCAACACGAGGTGAGAGAAATGCGTCGCGAGAGCAATCGAGAGAAGCAGACACCTAGGGCAGATGAGGTGCAAGAAAGGGGCAGCAGGGTAATAGATACGTGAAGAAACGCCTACAGGGTCGAACCTGTGGCCACATTTAATAAGAATTTTTATCAGATTATTGGAATAATCTGTTATGCCGCAATAACCAAACGCTTCATCCAACATTTTCAAAATGCACCGCACCAAATAAGCTGCCCTAAGGGGCGCATCTATCTTTTTTATAATCAAATTTAAGCATTAGATGCTCATTAGTTCCCTTCCCTCCTTCCAACAATCGCACAATTGTTATTTATTTACAAAACTAAGACATAAACTTCAACAATTTATATTTATAACACTTTAATTTTTTTTTTAAATTGTTATTTATAATCAATCTATGAAGCATGTAAATCCTCTTCTTTTTAGAAAGTATGTGGTAGCATGCCGGCAATTATAAATCTTTCATTGCATGGATTTTATGTCTTGCAAAAATATAAATGATTTATTAAGCTCAAGCAAAAAATCATTCAAAAAATTTTGAGGTATTTAAATAAAGGTTTCCACATTGGTCAGAAGAAAATTCTAGGAACATATTATGACAGTCCTAACTGTTACAATTATATGTAGGGCTGTCAAAAAAGTTCATTATTCGCGAATAGTTCATGTTCGGTTCGTTATTGAATTCGTGTTCGATTCGTTCGATAAATAAACGAGACAAACGTGAATAAATTTTTTTCGTTCGATTAGTTAAACGAACAAAAAACGAGCAGTGAAAAAACGAGCAGTGATTCGTTAATTCGTGTTCGAATCATCATTGTTCGAAATATAAAATAATTATATAAAATAAATTTACGACAATAATATAAGTTATATGACTAATATAATATATTATATATGTATATTACTATTAGGGATGTCAAACTAGCTCGTCGTTCGCGAACAACTCGTGTTCGGCTCATTCGTTAAGAAACAAATATGAACAGTGACTTCATAACACGAACATTGACTTCATGAACAATTTCGAACACGATCTTATTTCAAACAAACTAAATTTTAAACGAACCGAAAACGAACACAAGAGTGTTCGGTTCGTTTACACCCCTAATTATGCAAGTCTAAACCTGCAATTACCATTAATTATTGGTTCAATTATTAAAAAATATACTAAATTAATCATTTAGATCTCACATGGGTAAATCAAGTCAAAGAGAGTTGATGTGTCATAAATAAATTTTTTATGGATGCTTTTTAAATAATTGGTCGTTCAAATTGAAAGTGAAGATCATATAGGCCCCAATTTTAATAAACTTATAGTCAAACTGATAGTCTCGCAAAACGAACTCAATGATATCAGAATTGATTTAAATCGGGCCCAATTAAGACCAAATTAAGCCATTCAAGCACATTTTAAAATTTTGGATCATCAATTTAATTGGAAAATGAACTCCAGTTTTAGCACATTTATAGTCAAATAGAGCATCTCGATGAGATGACTAACGCGCTCAATATCGTTAAATTTCTTAGTCATTCAGGCGCCAAATCCTTAAAAAATTACTCATAATTAAGGGGATCAATTTTGTTATGGAAGTTACACATCAAAAGATTAAAATGACTCTCCCAAAAGACTATAAATGGACCCTCTATCTTCATAAGGGTTGTCAAAAGAGCTTATTGTTTGCAAACAACTCGTGTTTGGCTTAATAAATAGCATGTATTTGATTCATTCGTCAAGCAAGCACGCCAAATATGAACAAATTTTTTCAGCTAGTTCATTCATGTTCAAACTTTTTAGCTAGAAATAATTAAAAAATAATATTTTTTTTTTATTTTTTTTATATTAATTTCTTATAAGTATTAAGAAAATACAAAATTGTATTATTTCTAAAAATTGTTTGTTTGTATAATTATTAAAAATGTAAGTTATGGTGTTAGATATGTAAATAAATAAGATGTATTTGGCATTTATGCAAATGTCCATAAAGTAGTCTATACTAGGAGAGGTCTGCAAATTAATAAGTTGTGGTATCAATGTAAATGTTCCAAGCAAGTTTCACAGGGACAAACGCTGAAACGAAGCAGAGCGGAAGAATCTGTCTAAATCAGGAAGTTAAGTTATGTGAGTTTGGGGTGCGAGGGCAACACCCCGTGGTATGGTACATGAGTAATGTTGTAATTACATATTATACTTAGGATTTACTCATGGGGTTACAAATATGCATGTTATTTACTCCAGGAGGTATCCCTTATTTCAGTAATCTCTTTTCTACATATTGAAAGGAACTCGCCGCTTTGTTCCAGAGGACGTAGGCATCTTTGCCGAACCTCGTTAAATCTTTGTGTGTTCTTATGGATTTGTGTCGATTCTTGTTTTTCTTCACCCTAATTTCTCAACAATATAGAAATAAAAAATCTCATATTTTACAATTTGAAATACAACTCGTTATAAGCTTGAAACAAGAACAATAAAAACTTTAAAAAATGTTTTTCTAAATTTATCTTGAGTCGAACTTGTATTTAATAAAATTGAGCGGAGCACGATTAGTGTTAACTCCAACTATTTCGACCCAGAGCTAAAGAAAAATAAAATAATAATGAGTCAATTTTAAGCAATAAGAATAAGAATATGTAAAAAGAGACGAACATGAACACACTGTTAACGAGTAATTTCAAACACGACTCAATTTCGAACAAACAGAACATGAGTCATGCCTGAACTTGCTCAAGCTTGGCTCGTTTACAACTCTAATAAAGACAATTCTAATTTTCAGTATAAGATTATAATTATGTTTCTCCTTAACGTGAGAGAAAGACAAATCTATGTCCTTATAAACACATAGTGAATTACTTTGATTTGACTAGACTCCATGATTTTTTCTTGTAAAAAATCTCTGTGTCTCCTCTAATATATATATATATATATATATATTTTATCTACGTTAAATTTTCGTGAAACACTAAGTCATTAAATAATCGTTCTAATCCCCTAAAATTTTCCAACATATACGTACCATATACTTTTGTTTTGACAAAAAAAAAAATTTTAATCTACTATAAATAAATGATACATTGTTTTGCAATGTATTTTTTATGTGGTCTAATATCATCACTCCGTTCCCTCCCTCCAATTATAAATGACGTCGATGGGCTCCATCCTTCTCCCCTGGCTGCACTCCTACATCCATCTCCTGCATCCTACACCAAACTCTCCCATAAAGAGAAAGCAAACCAAAGCATGCTGAAGAAGGAAAGCGAAAGCCACCGATCCATCTCCCTCTAAAAACTCCTCCTTTTCCTTCTCCTCTCCACTATCTCTATAACACTTTAATTATCTCCCCTTCTTCTGCTCTCCCACAATCAGCCTAAAATGAAAGCCAGAAGAAAATTAGAAGAGTGATTTATATATATATTTTTTCTCCCTTCTCTTCTTTTATCAGACACCATGGGTAGGTCTCCCTGCTGCGAAAAGGCGCACACAAACAAAGGTGCTTGGACTAAGCAAGAAGATGAACGCCTCATAGCTTACATCAAAGCTCATGGGGAAGGATGTTGGCGCTCTCTTCCTAAGGCTGCAGGTTATTTAAGTAACCTCAAGCTCCTAATCTATACCCTCAAATTCATATTTTTACCTGTGTGGAAGTGTAATTTAGCCTTTTGCCTCTTTTGAAATATCAGTTTTGGCCCTCCTTAAATATTACTATGACATTTTTTGTTTTAGCATCTCCCATACTGGGTTTAGGGGGCAGTTCGCTACTGAAAAAATGTCTGTTATTAATTTGTTTTGTTTTAGCATCTCCCATACTGGGTTTAGGGGGACAGTTCGCTACTGAAAAAATATGTCTGTTACTAATTTAATTATATATTTAGATTTGAGCTTTTTGTTTTATTGTTGTTGTTGCAGGTTTGCTCAGATGTGGCAAGAGCTGTCGTCTACGTTGGATCAACTATCTTCGGCCTGATCTCAAAAGAGGTAACTTTACTAAGGAGGAGGACGAACTCATAATCAAGCTTCAATCCCATTTGGGCAACAAGTTAGTAACTACTTCAAAGAAATTTTTTCATTGATTATATCATTGGATGATAATGTTTTAGACGTAGAAATATATATAAAGTGGCTGAAGATTGGAATTAAATTCCTAATTTGAAATTTTCTTCTTAGAACTTTGTTTTTTAATAGATATTGGCTCAATAAATAGACGTGAAAATTTTCTAGAAAATACATGTGCAAGGAACTTAACATTTTCTTCATTTTCATAAGTCATATTAGGCTTATGATGATGTTGGTCTTGTCCCAACATTAACACTGCACACACAATAAAACTAACTTTTAAACATTAGCTCATGGGAAATGCTACATGGAGAGCACTGCTGTGCCTGGAAGAAAATATGATGAGCCAAAATCAAATGTTTTTTATTGTCAGAATTAGTATTATTATAAAAAAATGTATAATAAAGCTTTGATTCATTTAATTACTCGGTGATTAATCATAAGTTATAATTTCAGGTGGTCGTTAATTGCGGGACAGTTGCCCGGCAGAACAGATAATGAGATCAAGAACTACTGGAACACTCATATCAAGCGAAAGCTCCTCAATTGCAGCATTGACATACAGTCAAATCACTCTATCGTCAAGAGAAAATATTATGTCCGGTCGTCTGCATGTGCAGATGACCAATGGCCGGGCGTCAGGGCTTCCCCATCCGCCACTTCATATGTGGATGAGGTGTATGACGAGTTATCACCGGGCTATTCATCGTCCGCACCTGCGAACGACGGGCACAATATTTTCTCCAACGTCAAGGCTACAACCACCGTCTCATTAAAAACAACAACAACATCGGATGCCAACAGTCAATCCATAATAACAGAAGAAGACGGGTGCAAGAATTTGCATGGGTTACCAGACCTCAACCTTGAGCTCACCATTAGCCTACCTTCAACTTCACGGGTGCCAATTGCATCTAGAGATAATAGTAGTCCATACATGTGCTTGTGTGACAGTTTAGGGTTTCCAAGGGTAGCAATAGCCTGCAGATGTAATATGTTGCAGAGCTGATATTACTTGATGAATTGTGTTGGTGAAATTAATGTATGGCTAAGTCTTGCTACTAAGTGGAAAAGAAATTCTTGGTAGCTATAAATTTATACTAGCACTGTTTGTTGGCTCTACTGTTTCTATGTTGGTGGAGTTATTGAACCTTTTCTGATCTGTTGCTCAATGAATTTAATAGAAAGGGAAAGAAAATCAGAAACAACACTTGTATTAGAGTATTGATACTCATTAGAAAACGTTGAGGCAGAGTTTGCCTGCAGTTTGAATTTACTTTAGATCGGATTTATCAAATTCAGTTAAGTCGATCGCAGTGCGTCAGAGATGAACTTACGAGGAAAGACTAGAAAAATACTTAAATTCGTCTCACAGTCTGATTTACTTTACGACCCAAAAGAGATTTAATGTGTAACTAAAAAAAATTTATACTTATATAAACAAAACTGAAATGATTACATTATAAAAATATAGTCCAGATCACAAAAGAGCACAAGAGTATTAGCATTCATTCTACATATATTGTTTGTTGGATTTTTAAATGATTTTGATTCAACACAAGTAAATATATTAATTTTGGGATATTTACATACATAACACTCAATTCCAATGTATTAACATGTTTAACACCTAAACTTCAATTTTACATAAATGTCACCTTACCTATACATGAAAATGTGCATTTCACTTTTTAAAAATTAAAATAATGATGTTAATTTTTATGTGATATGAGCGATTTGAGTGGCATAAATTTAAAAAAACTAAAGTTCAGATATATAAATACATAAGAATTGGGAGGTATGCATGTAAATATCCCATAAATTTATTGATTCAATTTAAATTTTTATGCGAGTTCCTAAGCAATTTCGTAGCAAAAGAGCCCTAAAATCATAACAAGACGACCATGAAAATCTAATGGGACATGAAATTTGAAGGAAAGATTCAATTATTCAACTAGGGCTGATCAACCAAGGTATATATTACATATTTGCCAAGATAGGGAGATGATTGAACCAAGCTAAACCAACCTATTCAACACAAGGAGCTCTTGCTCTTCTTATTGCATGCAAGGGAACCATCTAAACATATTCTCCACCAATACTAGCAACATTGCAATAGAAAATTAAATAATTAATGTACATAAAAAAGAATGTAGACATAAAAGCATGATCATTTCTTGCCAATAGATAGCTCTACACTAAAAAACTATCAAGGATCCATTCATAAAAATCATGCAATTAGTTTGTTTTATTTTTCTTTTCCTCTCTAAAAATACATGAGACATAAGTTTTTTTTTTAGTAAGAAAAGGGGGACATTGATTAAGAATACAATGGAGGCTCATAGAAATTCTGTCATATTAGTATTGTTCAATTTCGATTTGTAAAAAATTGACACAAAATAATATTACTGGCGGATTTGTGAGGGTCATATGGTCCACATAAAAAAGAGCAACAATTCTGTCATATTAGTATTGTTCAATTTCGATTTGTCAAAAATTGACACAAAATAATATTACTGACGGATTTGTGACGGTCTTATGGTCAACATAAAAAAGAGCGGCGCAAATGCAATTAGCTTCGACTATGGTTTAAATAAAAAAAATTGCGTCGAATTTTGCGTTTGACATTGTCGATGTTAGCCAGTTTCGATGTGATTCATGCTGACGTAAATGTTACCTATAAAATTGGCGTCCAATGTTTGCAGATGCAAAATTAAGTCGGATGTTACGTCTACTATTTTTGTCGGAGATGTAGATTAGCATCGGGCTTTTCGAAGGTATTTCCGTCGGAAATTTCCAACGCAACTCAGAGCAAAACAACACTCAACAAATATCACATACATTTACTTATCATCAACACAACACAAAGCATATTGAACAAACTTTTATCAACAAAAAAAATATTAATAAAATTTAATAAACATTACAAAAAATTGGTAAAAGTGCCAATCGAACAGAAATTTAGAACACACACACACACACACACACGCACACACACACACACACACAGGATTATGTCCAAAAACTAAACAAGATAAAAATACAGAAACCCCTATGGGACATTACTAACCTCTCTCTGATCCTCCTCACCCTCCTCCTCGTCCACTGAACTCAGAGGTCATTTGCCACAACAATCTACAATCTTCTCCAGTCGCCCTACAGTGGCCTCGACTCTATGTTAGCCCCCACTTAGCTGTCATAGCTCCTTAGTCATAGCAACGACACGCCAGACAAGTTCATTATCTAATGATGATGATCACGAACCATCCGGAGCATCTCGAGAGTGTTTAACCTCAAACACAATACATTTTGAGCCTAGATCGTACACCCTCCCCTTCTTCTTCTCTGCATCCTACCTCCATCTCATAGCCAGTGAGCAGTATATTGAATATCACTACTACTAGCTGCCCTTAAGCTCTGGCCCATTACTGACTTTGTGTGTATCAAATGTGCTCGTAATCTTCCTATATAATTAAAACCAAGAATTAATTGACATTTTCTATTAGTAATTTTTTAATAGAATACAAAACTTAAAAAATGTTTATGAGATGTATGTATAATGATGTCATAAAAATCAGAAAAATAACTAAAATTTCTCAATAATATTTTCATTTAATGTCAGTATCATGATATAATGTAATTCTAATAAAAATTGAGTTAGGAGGTATTTTCATCAAATTTTCCCCCACATAAATCTCCCAAACAAAACAATTAATGACACCAAATTTTCACGGCAAAGGTAAGGTTTGGTGCGGAGGAAGGTTATTGGAGAGGACCAGTGGACTTCTTCAGGGTTAGGTAGCTATATCTGTATTAATAATTAAGGGAGGACTACTAGTGATTCGGTCGAAATTCCAGGTTGGTTAGGTGCTAAACGGTTGACAAGTGGCACTCGTTTTTCGCCAGTCCTTAAGTTTTGGGGGTGTCAAAACGGCTCGTTGTTTGCGAACAGCTCGTGTTCGGCAATTAAGAAGCTCGTGTTTTTGTTTGTTGGATTTTTAAATGATTTTGATTCAACACAAGTAAATATATTAATTTTGGGATATTTACATACATAACACTCAATTCCAATGTATTAACATGTTTAACACCTAAACTTCAATTTTACATAAATGTCACCTTACCTATACATGAAAATGTGCATTTCACTTTTTAAAAATTAAAATAATGATGTTAATTTTTATGTGATATGAGCGATTTGAGTGGCATAAATTTAAAAAAACTAAAGTTCAGATATATAAATACATAAGAATTGGGAGGTATGCATGTAAATATCCCATAAATTTATTGATTCAATTTAAATTTTTATGCGAGTTCCTAAGCAATTTCGTAGCAAAAGAGCCCTAAAATCATAACAAGACGACCATGAAAATCTAATGGGACATGAAATTTGAAGGAAAGATTCAATTATTCAACTAGGGCTGATCAACCAAGGTATATATTACATATTTGCCAAGATAGGGAGATGATTGAACCAAGCTAAACCAACCTATTCAACACAAGGAGCTCTTGCTCTTCTTATTGCATGCAAGGGAACCATCTAAACATATTCTCCACCAATACTAGCAACATTGCAATAGAAAATTAAATAATTAATGTACATAAAAAAGAATGTAGACATAAAAGCATGATCATTTCTTGCCAATAGATAGCTCTACACTAAAAAACTATCAAGGATCCATTCATAAAAATCATGCAATTAGTTTGTTTTATTTTTCTTTTCCTCTCTAAAAATACATGAGACATAAGTTTTTTTTTTAGTAAGAAAAGGGGGACATTGATTAAGAATACAATGGAGGCTCATAGAAATTCTGTCATATTAGTATTGTTCAATTTCGATTTGTAAAAAATTGACACAAAATAATATTACTGGCGGATTTGTGAGGGTCATATGGTCCACATAAAAAAGAGCAACACAAATGCAATTAGCTTCGACTATGGTTTAAATAAAAAAATTACGTCGAATTTTGTGTTTGTCATTGTTGATGTTAGTCAGTTTTGATGTGATTCATGCAGACGTAAATGTTACCTATAAAATTGGTGTCCAATGTTTGCAAATGCAAAATTAAGTCGGATGTTACGTCTACTATTTTTGTCGGAGATGTAGATTAGCATCTGGCTTTTCGAAGGTATTTCCGTCGGAAATTTCCAACGCAACTCAGAGCAAAACAACACTCAACAAATATCACATACATTTACTTATCATCAACACAACACAAAGCATATTGAACAAACTTTTATCAACAAAAAAAATATTAATAAAATTTAATAAACATTACAAAAAATTGGTAAAAGTGCCAATCGAACAGAAATTTAGAACACACACACACACACACACACGCACACACACTAGATATTTTTAAAAATTATACTTAAAATAAATAATAATAAGAACAAAAAGCCATCACTTTTCTTAAGAAATCATTATTTCTTTTGGTTCCTCTTACAACATGAATTTTCTTTTTGTTTATTTTTTTGGATGTCTTGATCAATCATATGTCAACATTATGTGTATGGCATAATGTAGTCATTGTCCTATGGGCCATATAGCTACGAGCATCTCACCTACCTAGTGATCGCATTGCTTATGAGCAATATAAATGAGCACCACCTAACTTTTTCATGGCTATTATCATATTTACTAGAAACATATAAATAGTTAGGTACCACCACAAATAAATAAATTAAAAAGTATAGAAAATATTATATTTTGATAGTATCATTTTTAGCTTATATTTTATCATTTGCTTGTCTTTCTTTTAAGTATTTAAATTGCTATACTTAGATGCTTGACCACTACTTAACAAACGTGTCTAACCTAACCCACTTGAACCAATTGTCTCCTAAAGAAAAGCTTCAAATCCAACTTAAGGTGGGGCAACTTGTGTGTTTCAGGATAAGAACGCGACCCGTGGGTCAACCGCAGGGTACGACCCGCGGCCTGCGTTGCAGATAAGCGGGGAAAACACGTGATCCAAACGGCGCCGGGGGGGTTTCAAAA